GGAGAAGAGAGAAAATGCATATATATTTATAAAATATATATATATTAAAAAATCGTCGCCCCTTCAACGTAGTATCGCCCTCTTCACTACAAAATTCCGATGCCGAGGGACAAGGCTAACGCCAAATTCGTACTGCATTGACTGTATAGTGACTAGTACCAATGTAACCCATTTGCATAGCGGCCAGATGGCCGAGCGGTCAAGGTGGCAGCCCACCGCTCTGGGGGACCCGGGCTCGAATCCGAACGGGTCGAAAAATCCCCAGGAATTTTTCGGGGGGTGGTCCGTTCGGATATGTCGGGCCCCGTCCCTCACCACCCGGCAGCCCCATTGTGGGCCTGGCCGAACCCATAATGGGCCTGCAAAAAGAGGCCCTCTTTGTGCCCACAGGGCGGAACGAGTAAAAAAAAGAAAAGAAAAAAAAAGAAAAAAACCCATTTGCATTGACTGTATAGTGACTAGACCAATGTAACCCATTTGTATAATTATTGTACGATATAACGAATAAAATATCTAATTATTCTAAATATAATGTTTTACTATATCGCCCAGAAAATTGTTTTTCGCCCCCAAAATATAAATTGTTGCTAATCGCCCCCGAAACATGGAAAAACGCCCACATGGGGGCGATATCGCCCCCGTTGAGAAACACTGGTTTACTATATGATTAATAATTAAATGAATTAATTCTTATCATTATTCATATTTCAATAAATAACAGTATATATATAATTCATTTATATACATTTTTTTCAGTGTAAATTATCCACAAGTTATGTTGGATAAACTCGGATTTCAAACGTGGACGACTGTTATTTACGGAATGGTCACGGGTATCGATTGGTAAGAAAAGTTTTCGTAACGTTATTGTATTAATTTCGGGGTTAGAACGTAAGCTAAATAAGCTGCGATTTAGTAGGGCATGGCATTTTTACGCGTACCTTTTACTAGTTAAAAGGAAAGACCTGTTAAGCCAGGAACACATATACCATATTATAGCTTAAGGACAAAACGCAGCATCACCTAATTAGAAATACGGCATCCCCAAGCCCTAGGTACGCGGGCGCTCCAGACTAATAGAATCAGTCGGGAAATCCGGTACTGTTTTATAATTTCAGTTACGCCATAATTACATTTTTACAGATTTTTAAATATCGAAAGGACAGAGCGTGCCGCTGTCGAAAACTCGTTATTAACATTACGCCGTGTTCGTGTAAATTACATTCGTATATTAATTAATACTGCTCGAACGATACGTCTTATTTCGTCCCCAAAATTACGTTTTTAATTTTCACTAATTTCTTTGCGAATCGTTTCTACGTAAAATTAATTGATTGTTCTTATTTTGAATTTTTGCGCGGGCCCGGGTTTAAAGGGAAATTCGCCACCATATTTAAAAAGTCTTGCTCGAGACAATACCAGTTCGAAGTCAGATGCAATGACACCTTATGGAATATTTTTGTCGGACGGTACCAACGGTATCTTTGCATCTTTCGGGCGCTTAAACGCGTACAGTTAATTAACTTACACTAATGCAAAAGCCGTGATGATCCTCGGAATTGGTCCTCCAGTTACTTGGCCCAAAGAAAGTGCTGTGTTAAAATAATAAGTCTCTTCACGATACACGATATTTCACAATAAGAATAAACAAGTTTCTATGGGAATTACGGGTGGCCGGATGGCCGAGCGTCTAAGGTGGCAGACTACCGCCCTGGGGAACCCGGGTTCGAATTCGGACGGGTCGATAAATCCCCAGGAATCTTACGGGGGCGAGTCCGTCCGGATATGTCGGGTCCCGGCCACCCCATTATGAGTTTAGCCAAAGCCATAATGGGCTTGCTAAAAGACGCCCTCTTAGTGCCCACAGGGCGGAAAGAGTTAATTAAAAGAAAAGAAAAGAAAAAAAAAGGAATTACGAGTATACACTCCCAGTAGACCAATCTTTTAAAAACTTATTACTGTAGAAAGAATATCAAAATTTAAATTTGGGCCATACCTTGCACCCTAGATTACCACAGCGCAGAACTTAACTCCCAGACGCATTAAAAAACGAATGAAGATATCGGGGGATTCCCCCGAATATCTGAAATGTCTGAAGTCGACACTGAACATGGGGGCCATCCAATTCAAATTGCCTGGGCCCTATGAAAACTATAACGCGTCACTGCTTGATGAACGTAACCTAATAATAGGGAATTTTGGGAAGCGTAAACAACCTGGCCTTACAGCGGTGCGTTATACGTTTATAGGGTCCAGATGAATTTGAATTAGGGAGTCTCACGTAGAGTTTTGACTTTAAGACATTTCTCTTCAAAGGGATATTTTGGGGTATATATATATATATATATATATTTTTTATAAAAGATTGGTTAGTGGCCACTTGGTGGGAACCCAGGTAATTGCCCATTTTCTCCGTAGGATAATGCGCCACTGTAACTTTTAAGCAAAAAATGTAGGCTCAGAATCGGAGATACATTACGATTTCGTTTGACACTTAAACACTACCCAACTAAAATTTTACTCTTCTGCATTTCAGCAACGATAAGTACGTAACTATTGAATCTTACGGAAAATATCCCTACGACGTTTTAGTGCTGTGTTGCGGAGTACAATACGTAGATCCCACGTTCCCCGCCGACTTCTTCCGAATGCGGGATGTCGCCGAGTCGTGGAGAAGAGAGAAAATGCCCAACAACGTCTTCCTGATCAACGACCAATTCGACGCTTCCAATTTTATTTATTACGTAAGAAATTTCCTGGGAGAAGGCAAAGGTGAGAGCGGCCTCGCGGTGCGCGCCGCTTCGTCGTCGCACCGCGAGGGTAATTTTGCTGTACGAATCTTTTAGATAAAATCGTCGTTTACGGCCGGACCCTCGACGCGTATCGCTGCGTGTCCACCCTCCTAGCTCTGGGGGTTTCCGGATTGCAGGTGCAATTGATCCGGCCGGTGGCCGAATCGCTGGAGGTAAGTCTTAAAAACTGAGGTTGTTGTTACGTATGTTAATTGGACCGAAAATCTGTGCAGAATCAGAAGAAGTATTGTATCGAAAGCGAACGTGTGGACGAGACGATTCGACGGTATCTGAACGAAAAGCACGTGGTGGTCTGCGATGATTGGACGTTGAAAAATTGGAAATGCGACGAAAGGAGACACGTGACTCGCCTCACCTTCAGAGACGAGCAGAATACTAAACACATAGTGAGATGCGCCGTAAGTTCGCCTCTTTTATAATACAGTCGATCCCCTATAAGACGGTAGATACGTTCCGTTCTTTATGAATCAATTTTGTAGGAATCACAGCCCGACACGTGTGAAGTTTACGGACTACGGCTATTTGAAAGGTTTTCTTCCATAAAATTAATCGATTCTAGACTAATCCGACTCAACATTTCCAAAATACGTATATTTTTTTTGGAAATAATCCGTATAAACTACGCTATAAACAAAAAATTGTAGGATTACTTACCGAGTGTGCACCGTTCGACATCGCCGTTGCTCAAGCTTGTTTTCGTCGCGGAACAGCTCAGCAAACCGCGGCCGCGGTTTCTGATGTTATTTTTCTGCGAAAACTTCGTTGAACTTTGGAGACATCATTAATATAAATAATTTTAATCGCCGTTGAATAAGGAATGTTTCTTTAACACGAAATGTATAAAATTACAGTACTGTACAGTATGTAAATTAATGTTTATTAATTTACATACTGTACAGACGATAGTTCGCCTAAACTCTCCGTAGCGTGGCGCTAGACGGCGGAAAGCATATATATAATTATAATAAAGTTACAATAAATTAAGTTAATATATAATTATATGTACAGACGAAACTAAACTCAATTTACCCGCCTAAACTGTCCGTAGCGTGGCGCGGGACGACGGGAAAGTAGTTCGGCTGCCCGATGACGTTTTACGTAATTATAGGAGTTTTTTTATCGTTGTGTACGGATACCGCCACAATTTTTTCGCCGTCTTATAGGAATCGTAATTATAGGAACCAGTCTTATAGGAGGATCTACTATACAGTACATTATTTTGTTTTGTACATCTTTCTGTATTTAACAATGCGAGGTTGTATTTTTATATACGATTATCCGTTGGGCTGGACGAAAGTTATCGCTATGCGCACCACAGTTACTTTGTAGATATTAGAGTATTTTTATTCCTCGTTTAGCCTATGTCGCTCATAGTGGGTTTGGTCCCGGGTTCCGGATGTAAGACGGATCCACACGAGACAACATATCGGGAGATGTCTTTCGGGAGGACTTTAGCGCCAGTCGGCCCCATCACTCGCCTCCTGTACTTATTTAATATTTTAGGAGAAGTTCTTTCGCGTTTCTGACGACGGCCCAAGAGTTTAAAATGACGTATTTTCCCGTGTTTATTTTCAGATGTTGGTGTCGTACGCCAGAAGCGGGGTAGACCCAGTCACCTTTAAAGGTAAGCCTTCGTCTTAACTACCTACTTGACCCTCGCGTTACCGAATTAGGGATTTTCTGTGGTGTTTTTCTAGGATATTTAATATTTGAATTAGCGTGTTTTTAGGATTTCTCAAACTCCGGCATGTGAACGGAATAATGATTAATTGCACGCGGAACGTAATGCGAGTGGATGTATTCTTGAATTAATGGGATCCGATTAATTCAAGAATGGGCGAGCTGCCGAGGAAAAGTTAACTTTTGTCAAAATATCTGGACTGAGGCGGCCAGAAGCCTCGAGCGATTTGCAATATCTAATAAAAAAAAAAAAAGGTTAAAAAAAACACCAATTTTTATAAACTCCATTTCTATTTTACTGTTGTGTATCTATCGTGGTGCAAGATATAAAAAAACAAAGAAAAATTAATTTTGGAAACCTTTGACTCCAAGAAATAACGATTCCGCGTTATCTGCGATTAAAACGACTGAAACGTTAAGTCGAGGAGCCAGTTTCTCTTTAATTGGAATGAAAGTGGCTCCTCAATTTACGATTTGATGCATTTTATCTGACGAATTTCGGCCGTCGTATTTAGCCCAAAACGTGAACGGCGGACGGTCGAGCGCCGCCATCTCGCAATTCTGTACGGTCGATAATCGCGTTTGCTGTCTGGCATGGCGAGTAGAAGATCGGTTTAAACTTCATTTTTTGTGTGTTTGGGGTTAAAATTATGACCTATTTTATTAAAATAATGGTTATTTAAGCATTTCCGAATAATAATGTAAAGAAACAGACGATTTTAATACAGAAATTATTTAATTATTAAATTTTTTAGCAATTGATGCGAAGAGCCTATAGAATTTACATATATTTGCCTTGATGATAATAGCTTATTGTAAGGTAGGTTTGTTCTTCCACGGCATCTTCTACCATCAACAGCGTAATACGTTTGTAAATTTCCTAAAAATTAATTTTTCGAGCTGCTTTCGGATTTACATAAGCAACTACCTCCCTCGATAAAAGTATGAAGTCAGATCGTACGGTAGGGGACTCCACGCTGATTAAAAATAATTATTTAGTGCTATTAAACATCCTATAAATACAGTAGAACCTCGATTATCCGGACCTCTATTATCCGGATTTTCGATTATCCGGATTGTTCAAAATAAACAAAAATTTTACGAATTTGCTGATTTGCACTTGGCGAATTACGACACTATGTACTGTACGTGCATAACATTTTTTGTTTCAACAACGTCTCACCCAGCACAGTGGTCGTAAACTCTTAAATATATTTTGCGTCGTAATAAATATATAATTTGACATACGTGTTTATAAATAATTTGTATTCAAATTACATAATTTCTATGACCAAGGGCGGCGTAAGGCATGGGCAACGTGGGCCACCACCTATGTCTCGCGGTCCGAAAGGCCTCGCGCCTCGAAGGTTTATGCATTACTTAAAAGCCGCGAATGCGACGAAAAAATTTTACTCGTCATAAAACGATAAATAGTTTGTCAAATTTTTATTCATAAAAATGCAGTTTCAACTGCTTTTTATTTTATAAAATCCGTTTTCTTCAGCCGCCAGAGGGCCTTTTAAACAATAGCTAGTCTGTTAGCGCTGGTCAGTAGTAGTACAAATTCAATAAAACATTAGTTTCTTGAAAATTTGATCATGATTTAAATACAGTATTTACTTTTAATATTACCGATATGTCATCGAAAAGAAAACGTGTTGTATTATCATTAACTGTTAGTGCACTGAGTTTTTTTTCGGCATTAGTGCAGTGGGGCGTTTGACCACCCCAACATTTTTTTGGGTCCATAAACCATGTAAGTAAAAATTTATAAAGATTTACTCATTTATTTGGTAAAGGCATGTGTACATATACATATAATTATATTCACGTATGATTACATATTATATTAGTACATAAATCCACGAAAATAAAAAACAACATTTATCAAAACTCATTACCTTAAATTTTATTATTAAACCAATAGTAAAAATCTAAATTGTTTTTTAAGCATTTTTGTCACTCTGATTCAATAGCTGACATTGCACTTTGTCACTCAGTGCAAATGACAAGCAACTTGCTATGTTTGGTATTTTCTCAATGTGTTTATGAAAGTCAGCCATTTTGAATTAAAATAAACTTAAATTATTTTTATTCACATTGATTATTATATCTATATTATAAATAATAAATGTGGTCACATTTTAGTTATTTTTAAAATACAAAAAACTAAATAAATATTTGTAAAATTTAAAAAAAAACGAAATTAATACTGTGGGGTGTTTGGACACCCCACTTAAAACTGTTGTTTTTCTCTTACTGGTATTTCTGCAGCATCGTAGTAATTTCTGAGCATGCTCTATACATAAAATCATGAAGCTACTGAAGAGGACACAAATATTTCTTGCAAAATCTATGAATAGTGCAACTTTTAAAACGTTGGGGGTGGCAAAACACCCCACTGCACTAGCCCAGGGTTAGCTCGGCGTTAAGCGCGCGTTTAAAAACGCCTAGTGTGTACAGGGCCTAAGTCTGTATTCGTGCACTATGGTGGTCGCGTCTCGATAGCTATAAGGGTGCGGGAGATATGGGCTTGAAAGTGGAAGATTTTCTATTTTAAAAATTTTCGAATTCGAATTGGTTCGATTATAGAACGATTGTAAACGTTCCAGAAAATTGATCAAATTGAAAATAGTTCGTTTGACTGGACGTAAAAATTCTCTAATTAGTCTGGAAACGGGGGACCTAATTCTTGCATTCTGTGAAAACGGGTAAGATTGACTATAATGTAATTATCTTAATCTTCACTATCGTTACTTTTTGCCCACAAATAAAAACCCAGCGAAGCGGGTCCTTGCAGCTAGTACGATAATAAAAGTTAATATACGAAAGTAAAGATATTATTTTTACTATATTTGTAATTATAGTACAGAAAAAACTCGTAGAATGTAATCATTGTCTTTATAACTTCGATAGTACCGTCACCGTAAAAAGTTCGCTAGCCGGACCTCCACCGCAATCCAGATGCAAACGCAAATAGGTCACGTGATTAGAAGTTTTTATGCCCGTTTTTGTGCTAGTGGCGTCTTAACCTAACTCGCTAGTTTTATCGCTTGGCAGTCACGACCGCCGGTTATGCCAAACCGCTTGTCAAATGGCGTTAAATATCTACTTCCCTCGCTCCTAATTTGTAGTCCTTAGATTGTTTTTATAATTAAAACGAGGAAGTAAAAATCGGACGTTTTGTTCTTGAAACTTATTAATATACAGTACGATAGTCGGAAACAATTAGTACAGGATTTCTTAGGTTTGTACACAAACGCGTGCTCGGTAGCATTGGGCTAGAATTCGGCATCATTTTCGAACAAGAATAATGGCGGCGTGAGACTGTCTCCCATAAGTAAATAATTTTTACAAAAATTAATTTTTCGCCGAGAGGGGGCGCAAGGAGTCTTCTGCTGCGCAAAACGTATGTCAAAGGAAGACTAAACGCAGTTCTGTTTGTTTTCGCTTTTTTAGAGTGCCCCGTTGAAGTTTTTTAGCAAATAACATTTGCGGGAGTTTTGTAACCTATTGTTAATTGTATTTGCTTAAACTGTTTGTGTTAATTCGGTTCAACTCTCCCTCCGCCGGGCGAATATCTGTTACGGTTATCCGTATGCACGCAAGATGCTGAAAGTGCGGACTTAGCGGGACCGGAATATAGATCCTCGGGTGCGTTCTTTTATTCCTTTGAGTAACTCCGCGCGCGCGGAAAAAGATGGATGTGCGGCGACCATTTAAAAATTCCTGCGGAACGCGTTCCTATTCCGGCTAGAGTGCGCACCATCAGACGGCAAAAACGACCGTTTGTACTGTACAATAGTAGATGCCTCCGTAAATAAATTGATTGATTGATTAATAGTAGTTTACGGTGAAAAGCAAAATGACGCCATCCATCTTTTACTTCCTTTTACCGTCGTTTCCAAATGCCTACGAACGTCAGCGCACGCCCTTGATGGCGGAAACGCGGAGCGACCGATATTAACGAACACACACTTTGACGTTTTCTGTACAAAAGAACGTTTTTTTTTCTTTTTCAGCTCTGTCGCATTCCGGACTGAATTTTGACGGCGCGGCTGCCGTAGACGCCACTTTCCGGACCGGCCGCCCCGGAATACTGGCCGGAGGAACCGCCACCCGACCCGATCGACGTTATTCCGTCCCCCGCTGGAACCGAAACCATTTCGACTCGCGGGAACTAGGACTCGGGGTGAACGACTCTCCCCGGAGGACTCGGCACGGGAAAGCGCTCTGTTCCCGAACTAACGATTTGCGTTCTCTTTCAGCTGGGCCGGGCCGTTGTCGACGCCGTAAAGGGGGAGGAGATCGGAAAGGAAGACGACGATTGGCCTCGTTTCCAAAGGCCCGTGGTGGCTCGGGCCCGACTTCCCGGTGAGTACTCCCGACGCAGGAGGGGGAGAGCCTCCGCGCTAACCTTCCCGCCTCTTTTCAGGAGGTCGACTTTACCTCAGCGTCCGAAGACCTCTTCACCCCCGTCCATCCCCGTCTTCCGATCGCCCTCGGGTGAGCCTCTTTTCTCTTATTTTGCGTCGCCCGCCTGCTTTCCCTCCCAATGTTTACGGAACGCCGGACGATTACGAACGCTCGATCGACGAGGTGGTCGGAACAGATTCCGCGTCCTCCCACCATTTTAAGAAACGGTGCGCCGTTTCTTAAAATTGTGAGATTATTCCGCGACCAAAATCCCTATGATAATTTTCGGCTTTCCTTTTTCGCGTGGTTCCGTGAATCGGGGCCCGGTGCGGCGAGAGCGTTCGAATTCTTGTTCGGAGGAGGCGGATGCGCGTAGTTTTCTCGGATGTGGAGAAAGGAGAGAAGTGTTATATTTTGTGCCGACGACGTCAGGTGATGGAAACAGGTAGCCCCGAGCGGGGAGAAGACTATTTCCGAATAGAACTCGATTCTGGATACCGGGTGCAAGCTGTCGTCTGTCTGTCCGAAAAGGTGAGCGTCCTTCCGCCGCGGGTTGTTCCCAAAGGAAGAAATAATCGACGTCCCATCCGATTTAGGAGTTTAAGGCGGCCGACCCCCGATCTCTCTACGGACTGCACCAGAGCATGCTGGGTAACGTCTGGGATCGGTTCCGAGAGGAATACGTCTCCGACTTTTTCTGGTAAGATATCGTCCGCCGTCGGCCCCTCCCTTCCCCGGGTCTATTCGTCATCGTTTCTTTATTCTTTCAGTTACTTCGAAGAGCCTTGGGCCCGGCCTCTCTTCGCCGATTGGTTCGGAGACTTCCGACGGGAGGCCCGAAAGATCGTCCGCTCGTTCTTGGTAAGTCGGCACAATTATTCCCAGAGAAGAAAGAAAATCTTTACGTAATTAACTACATAATTGTGTTTCAGACTTCCCGTCCGTGCGAATTGGCGGAAGAAGCGAAGCGCGCGACGGAGGAAGAGAAGCGCCGCCTGTGGCGATTCCTGGATGAAGGATGCAAGAGTCGCGTGGAGGAGCTCCTCTTCCGCTTCCTGTCTCGTCACCAGCGGGAAGCGTCCTCCTTCTCTCATTAGCCACGTCTCGGGTCTTTCTGTCTCATCGACAATAAAACGTTAGCTTTAAAACAAACGATAATTTCGAGTGATGTCGGTAGATACGTCTTAAGAAAGGAGGGGGGAAGACTTTTCTATATTTTATTTGCATCGAGTATATATACAAGAATAAGATTTGATGAAACGGTAACTTGTCCAGTCAAAAATAGAATTCTTTTAAACTTACAAAAAACACTGTCTAGGATAAACGGAGGAAGGACGAAGGCCCTCCCTCCCTCTTAAGTACGGACGCTTTACGATCGATTATATATAAAGGCGTCGGGCCAATTTCCGACAGGAATAACGAAGAAAAATTCCGATTATATACAACGTAAAGACACGTGCAGACGGGAATTTGGTCCCCGGAAGATAAGGGCGCCAATGAGATCGAAAGTTAAAGAATCGAAGTAGAGAAGAGGAGGTCCGATCGTCGAATAGGAGGAACGAAGAGACATCTAGCAGTACATTGTGGTCACCATCCACTGCAAGGGAAATTATAATTTATACGACGTTCTAAACGATGTATTCGTTGCGCGTAGGACAAAATTTATGTTAGGAGAGCGATCGCTCTCCCTAGTATGCGGAGCACGCGCAATGACGCGTGCTCCGCATACTAAAAATCCGACGGACTCACCTCGTCTTTGGAAACGGTGACTTGTCCATCGTCCGTTTGTTTATGTTGGAAGAATTCTAAGAACGGAAAAGATGAAAATTAATTCGGCCTTACCATGGATGTTAACAATTGTGCGCGTTCGAATAGGGCTCCGCCATGTTTGGTCCTTCTTACCATACGGTCTCGAAGTTTGTTGTTTTACCACAGTTCGGGCGTTAAAACGAAAGTATTAGTTTTCGTTTCGAACGAACTTTCAGAATATTAAACCGACGCCGGTGAAGACCGGACTAAATATGGCGGACGGTCATCGGAATGCGCTTCTCTATGTACCGTCTGATAGAAATTTATAAATTTAAATGGAAACTTAGTCTCACTCACCGATCATAGACTTGAGTTTGACGGCGCACATCATGAAATCTTCGAAGGACACCTTTCCTCCGTGTCCGTAACGCAGGGCCAACACGCGGAGAACGTGCAGATTCACCCGATAACCTGGAACGACAAACGAACGCATGCACAGGTCATCACCGAATTTAAATACGCACCTTCCGCTTTCTACTCTTACGTTTTTCGTTTTCTTTTTCTCTTCCTTTACGCGGGCCGGCAACGAAAACAGCTGGTATTTCACGTGTTCTTTTGGGTGAGCCAGAGAAAACCCGATTCGTTTGTGAATTCGGCACCCAACCACGAACTATTTTTAAAGAAATTTTTGCGAATCTTCATTTTTGGGGGGCTCGCGCTATTCTTCGCTCAAGACGTAACGCTTTCCGCGACTTTCGCATGGTCGAGAAGCGACGCGAAGGAGAGAGAACAATTAGGAAAGTACTCACCGGCGGAATGGAGGGCGGCTCTCAACTCGATGGTGTTGAGACACCCAGATCTGTCGTAATCGTATCTCAGGAACACTCTCTGAAATCAAAGGCTTTCTCTTAGTCGCGAGCGTAATACAAAGAAAAAAATGAATTTGCAGTTCGGAGACCGAAATGATCGTAAACTGAATTCTCCCGTCGATTCCCGCCAAACTCATCGTCCGTTTTTAACGCGTTCGGAAAAACTTTCGCGTTGTATTTTTAGGTCGAAATTATGTTTCTTCGCTTCGGACGTCGCGCGTCGTCTGGCCATGGAATTGTTCGTTTGGCGTAACTTTCTACAAGTAAAAGAATTGAAGACGAAGAGTAATATTATATTCAATAAGCTAGCCCCCATGTCGCCAACGACACCTGGGGGCTGAAAACAGAAGTCATGGAAGCGATATATGACTATGTTTATACCGATTATGACCTATGTAGCATCGGCATGGAGTGGAAAGGCCAACAATACTATTCAAAAGAAGTGTCTTCGGCAGGCACAAAGGACAGCGCTTGTAAGGCTGACAAGATGCTTTAGAACTATTTCAACCGAGGCGCTAATGATTCTAGCAGGCAAGGCGCCTATCGAACTACTAATTGAGGAAAGGGTCAAGAGGTATTGGCTAAAGAAAAATGGGGAAAAATAATATGATAAATCTACCTATAGATCTAAATAATTTTGAACGAGACGTTCCAGTCAAGAATCTGCCACATCCAACCAGGAGTGGTAATGTTCATGTAACGGCTGATAACCAATTAGGATGGATATATACACAGACGGCTCCAGGTCAGGATCTGGGACCGGGGCCGGTTGTGCTGTTTACGAATGCAATGTAGAAATTCATAATGACAAGTTTTCCGTGGAGTCGTATTGCTCCAATAATCAGGCCGAGCTATTGGCCATTGATAAGGCAGTGGAATGGTGCATAGAAAACCAAAGGAAGGAAGGAGTCTGTATTAATACGGACAGCCAGAGTGCTCTACAGGACCTGATACACTTGCTGATGTGTGGATCTCCTAAGTTAAGGGAAAATGGTTCGATTGAGAAAATTCAATTCAAATGGGTCAGAGCCCACACTGGTATTATAGGAAATGAAAGAGCCGATCAATTGGCTAAAAAGGCGACAAACGGGAACGATAAGGTGTTTCACACTATACCGAAATGTTGGAGAAAGAAGACACTTAGGGCTCAAACAATAGAAAAGTGGCAAGATATGTGGACAAATAGCACGAAAGGCCGAAAGACCTTCGAATACCTTCCAAATATAGAAATCCATCTCAAATGGTTCAGGAGAGCGGGAAGCAATGATGTCTCTCTGGGCATGACGGTCTAGGACCACCATACTCAACCTGCGGCCCGCCGAGCTTTCGTGAGTGGCCGGGACGTGAAAGAGAGCGGAAAATAATTACGCTAACTTCTGGAAATAATTACCACTTCTGGAAAGTAGTGCCCGATCAATATAAGACTAAAAAATGTGCTCAAATTTTACTTACGTTGTTCGCATCAATGTATCTATGTGAAACGTCATACTCAAAAATGAAATATGCAAAGAACATATATAGAAACTGGCTTACTGGTTCACACCTGGATGCCATTTTACGAGTAGCATGCAGCAGTTACAAACCTGATTTAAATGAATTGACAGCCGAGCGGTCAAGGTGGCAGCCTACCGCTCTGAATCGAATCCGGTCGGGTCAGGGAATCCCCCAGGAATTTTTCGGGGAGTGGTCCGTTCGGATATGTCGGGCCTCGTCCCTCACGACCTGGTCGCACCATTGTGGGCCTGGGTTCGGCCAGGCCCACAATGGTGCCTGCAATTGGCCTGCTATAAAGGCCCTCTTAGTGCCCACAGGGTGGAAAGAGTATTAAAAAAAAAGATTTAAATGAAATTGTGAAAAAATGTTCGCAATATCAACAGTCACACTAAATTTCTAGGGTAAGTGAGAAATTAAGCAAGTTTTTTATTATAATTGTTATGTTGCGGCCGCGTGTAATAGCTATCATGTGTATGTGGCCTGAGAGAAAAAAAAAGTTGAGTATAGTGGGTCTAGGAGAATATAGATGATTTAACCTGAACGGTGAGAATTCGTATGTATTTGGAGAGGAAATAGCGACCCTTAATCACCTTGTGTACGATTGCATACAATGGCAGTTGGAAAGACATTACCTGGAATTGATTGCAAAAGACGAAGGAATGCAATGGCCCTGCGGGGTCTATCAATTAATCAGGAGTGAAAAAAACACATAATCAACTCATTGACTTTCTAAGAAAGGTATTAGAGCAAAGTAGCTCATATTCATATGTAAAATAACTTCCTGGCCGAGTAGCTCAGTAGTTTGTAATTTCTTTTATATTTTCACTGTAACTTTATTCCTAAAGTCTATACTTCATAATACAAGTACCGGTACCTAAAGCGGTTATGCCTTAGCGGGGAAAGACTGATCCCCGAATGATGATTTCTAAATGAAAAAAAAAAAAAAAATGTTTTTTGAAACCGTGTCCTGTTTTATATTTGTGGCGTAGTAAACACTAGTATTGTGTTTTATTCCAAAGACACAATACTAGTGTTTAATACGCCACAAAAATGAAAAAAAAAGTTGTAAAAGAATCTTCGGGAGTATCTCGTTTGCCGGAGTTTCGACCCCGGGTCAACACTCACCCTCCAAGTCTGGACGTCGGACCACAATTTGCGGAATTCTTCGAATCCCAGTTTTCCGGAGAGGTCCGTCTGTCGGTCCATCGGAAAATTTCCATTGCAAGTGTTACGCGCGATCTCGTCGCTTCCTTATGAGAAAGCGAAAAAAAAGGATACGTCCATCATGGCCACCATACTCCTGCACACCTCCACGGTGAAACCATCGAATTCGAAATCTGCAAATAATAGCACACGTCACCGAGTTGAAACTTCGAAATAACGAAAAAGTAGTTCCAGCTTCGAGGTCTCCTTACGTTTCGACGTTACGCCGTTTTAGTCTTAATGACTTTCGGCCCAACGTCGCTACGCTTTTTGTAATCGTTAAAAACGGATAACGTTTCTCGTATTAGAATTATTCCCTCTTAAAACGTTCGGAACTATCGATTCGGGGTAGGCCACGCGACGTAACTTTGCGTTAGTCCACACGTGGGAAGGAAATACATAGTATAAACACCGGATACCGCATCCGCATTTATCGTTGCGGTCTCGATTTACCGTTTAATTCGACTACGGCTTCTCTAGAAAATCGAATCGTTAAATCCCGGGTGTTTCTAGTAGTAATTTGTAAAACCGGGATAGTGACAGATGGGCACTCACCTTCTTTCAGGAAGTGATTCAGGATCTCTCTCAGTTGGACGTAATCGATCTCGGAATCTTCACCCGCTAACTTGGCAAAGTATTCGTCGATCTCGGTCGGTTCTTTCTCCTCCTGCTGTTGTACCTCCTCCTCTTCTTCTTCTTCTTCTTTTTCCTGTTTTACGTAACGTTTCTCGTTAGTATTCGAGAGTCGTCGTAATGTTACGGATAAAACGAACGATCCATAGACAGGCAAGGCACAGACAGATACCAAAGACGGACAGAAATATCGACACGCGTTAAGTTACGGATCATAGACTGCAACGTAACGTCGGGACTCTCAAACGAAAAATGTTAAGATAGAAGATTATAATAAGAGTTACATTAAGAAATGCAGAGAGTGGCTTAACGAGAAGAAAGGTGATAACGAGGAAAAAACGATGGAAGACAAGGAATTAGTTAAATATAAATGGAATAATTAATGTTATTAACACAGTTAAGCATTTAGTACCGTTCAGAACTCGAAAGACTCGTCTGCTCTTCTGTCATTGGTCGATTTTACTCGTTATTAGCATTTACAATTTTTTATAATAAAAATCTCTTGACAGATGGCGCCATGGGCAATTTTAAATCGTTTTGCCAGGAAGTTACGTAACTCGTTGCTGGATATTTTTAACTTGTAAACAATAGAAGAAATTACGATTTATTTACTTTGGATTTAATTTTTACTTCCCGATATTTAAAAAATTAATCCATAAATAACAAAATTTTTCTACATAGCGCGGACCGATGATCCAATCGGCGAAAATACCCCAGACCAATGACAGGGCTCGTAAGTTATTGTCGAGTACGGTTTAACCGCTTAAACTGCATTTGAAATGTTTTTAACCGTTCGACCTCCCATTAATTAATAGAGACGGTAGGTCGAACGGTTAAAAATAATTCAAATGCGGTTTTAGCGGTGGAAATGTGGTTATTTTCGGGGTTAGTAGAATGGGTTAAGGGCCGTCCATAAATTACGTAAGGTATTTTGGGATGGGTGGGGTCAAGGATTCTTACTCGGATAGGGGGTAATAGATCTTACGTAATATTATATTTTGATCTCGTTGAGTGGTGTTTTGAATTTGGCTTCAATTTGGCGGTTTCTATTAAGAACCTCGTTGTATCAATGCCATCTCGTGTGACGTGATAGAATAATAACGCTCGCAGATTCATGCTCTACACATTTTTTTTTATCGTGGAAGGCCATGTGATGGTTTCTCTCTCTTCTCTTGTTTTGATTTGTATGACGTTTCTGTTTGACAGATACACTAGCTAGTACATGTGTAAAGTGTTTTGCGTCCTTTTGTGAAAATTAAAATAGAAAAATAAATATTATAACGTTGATTAATATTAATAATAATAATGATAAGATTGTTAATAATTAAAAAAATAAAGTTCTTAAAATAAATTGTTCATTCGAATTCATTAAATTATTATATTTTTAAATTTGTTCACATATAGTCTTTTATAAATAATAGTACAGTACATATTAATTAACTAATTAATAATTATATATTTTCGACCTAAGATCTTTAGGGTTTCATAAAAAATTTTTCTTGTTAAAATCTTTCTTTAAAATCATGCGTAAATATTACGTAAGATAGGGAAGGGGGATCAAAGAAAATATTACTGTTTCTTACACGGGTGGGTGGCCGAAATCACCCTTACGTAATTTATGGACGGCTCCTTAGGGAAGGAAAAGGAGGTCTTACGTGCTGGAGCAACTTCCCACGTTTTTTCACCAGAATTTCCTAAAGAAGCGTTCTGCAAATTAAATACAAAAACTAAAAGAGAAAAGAAAAAGAACCGTCCATTAGAAGATAGAAGGGAACGTTACGGCGTTAGAAGCTGGGAGTAACGAGTTGCGTTCTTCGACGTTCAAACCGTTTCCTCAGAACGACGCGACGTGGTAAACGTCGGTTTGGGTAGATGACGCGCGAATGGAGATATAACGTTACCAAACTTCGATCGATCGCGGCAAGATACTACTATCCGCGCGTAATTATTAACGCGAATCGACGCAAATAGCCGTGGGCGCGTACGTCGCATTATCTTCCCGCGCGAGTATAATGTTCTCGCCTTTTCGACTTTCGTAATGCAGACACCAGCCACGACGTGAGAGAGACGTTAGTGTTTTTGATGAGGAAGCTTTTCAAGTAATTCGGTACGGAGGCATTCCCGGGGTTTAACGCGCGATGGAAACGGAACGCGGAGGCGGCTGTCGCCGCAACGCAACGAGTGACGTCGTCTCTCGTTACTTTCGAATATACGCTCCGCCCCCGCACTCTCGGGGATCTCCGACGGGCGGGAGGACGTCCCCGGAGCGGAAATTTTTAAATTACGAAATATATTCAAATTTTCAAGAGGACGTAAAGTGTCTCACCTGTTCTGGTTTCTGCAAGTCGATGTCTTCGTCATATTCGCTGCCGGAATAAAAAAAAAATTCGGTTAACTTGTGAGTCCATCGTTGGACGTATAGCTCGGCCCACGCAGTCTCGCTCTCTCACTCCCCGATGGCTCACGAGTGGACAAAACCCTCGAATACCATCACAGGGCGGCGTTTGGTCCCTTTCCCAAACCTACAACGGCTCAGGCAAAAAAATACAGTAGGAAAAGCCGAAGTCGGTACGGAAGTGCTATCGTACCGACTTCGGTACAATGGCACTTCCGGAGGATCGGGTTTTCGGGAAGCTACTCGGACGCCACCACCGGGAAGGAACGAATCGTACCTGCTGTCGTTTTTCTTTTCGGTAAAGATTCTGAGGATGTATTCTCCCTCTTCGTTGGGATCGAAGGTGGAAGGGACCACACAGTAGGTGCCGGGAGGCAATTTGAATCGGGCTGCCACTTCTCGCAGGTTGATGAAACTGGGAGAGCGGGCCACCGAGGCGTTGTACTTGAAAAACTCTTTGGGCAGCGGCTTGGGCAGAGACTCCGGATTCTTCAGCTGAAACCCACGAGAAACAATTAAGATAAGACGCGACAAAAGACGCTTCCGGTTTTCCGGATTTGGCGTCGCGCTGATTCGACGCGCGTATCTACTCTTAACCATAAAAAAATACATTGTAAAAAAAAGATAAAGCTGTGGATTGGAATTTTTATAAGTGAAGAGAAAAAAACTCGGTCGGACGGAATTTGTCCCTTTGCGCGATGTTAGACAACCATCTCGCGACTTCCGATTTCGCTGGTGACGTAGAGCTAAAGAACCGATAAAAGTTTCTTCTGCCACCCTACCAACTGTTGCCGGGAAGAGCTTATTTACAGAATAAGAAAGGAGAACGATTATTGCGTGTGGCTTACGATTTCTGGCTATCGTATTGCCTCTTACCAGAGTTTTATTGGCAAAGAATTAATTAACGAGCGATATGGCCAGTCGCTATAGGTCTTTTACATGTTTATATCTATTGTATATTTGATAGATTCGATAATTTAATCAACCCGAAATCATTGACGACAACGACGAGATTTAAAAAAAATTCTTTTATTAAATAACCGATATGTTTCAAACGAAAGGAAGATTAGTACTTTTTAAATTAGAATTATTATTAATATAAACATAAATAGTGTGGTCGAGATTTATTCTTACTATTGAGAAGTTGTGGATAATTATTGTAAAATAAGTATGTTATTAAATAAAATCTTCCTAAAAGAAATTGAGATCATTCCGTAATCTCGACCACACTATTTGTGTTTATATTAATTATTATAAAAACCACCCTTCTTTGTTTCACAATAATAATTGTTATTGATAACTATCACTTATTACATCGCACGCGCATACCGACGCTCATTTTAGGCGATAGCGTGGTCATTTACGCGAAGCGAAACAGAGCGTTTTAGTCACCTGCGACTGTTTTGCTCCACCGGCGTCGGCTACCGCGACGCGTGAACTCGGAAAATACACAGAGCATCGATTGCAATTTTCGACTCCTCCGTAGACATGGCCTCGATCGTAATTAACTTTCTATACGCAAATTTATTCTCCGCTCGGAACGGGTCGATGCGCAACTCCTTTGTTTTAATACAAATGTAGCGGAGTTGTATCTAAGAAGTTTCCATCGTTTGTCACCGTGTAAGGGCCATACTAAGGTTGATACGCGCATTATTCCGCTAATATTTGGTCCAGTCGTTATCCTTTTAGTTCGGTGTATTGTAAAGTGGTGTGTTATTTCGTTAAAACTAACATTTCGATATGTTGTCGAAATAGCATAAAATTGGACAATAAAACGGACGTTTCGAACTAAGACCCCCAATCCTTAGCGCAAAAAGGACTAAATATGCGACAAATTATGTCTAAGCAGCCAATGGTATCCACATTTTTCGATTGCCGGGTCAAATTGCCCACAAGTCGTAGGTCGGCAATTCAGAAATATTTTCTATAGACTATTCTATCTATGCAAAAAGTAGGCCTATTTCTATCATTGTGTAAGTGACGTTGCGGGACGGATTTGTCCCGCAGACCTTACTTCGGGCACCACTGGTATAAGAGTTAAGACTTTTGTCCCGATTTTCGAATTTATCATGTGATACACATTTAACGTCGTTTATCGATAGGCGATTACCAGTTGGAAACAGCACCGACCCACGGGACAAATAAGAGTTAAATTAACACTCACGTGATAGATGGAGAATCCTATGGTGAGAGATTCGGCTCCCATCTTTCTTTGGCTTCTTCTGTTCTTCTGCATCAGGGCCACGATCAGCGTGCACAACTCTTCGTCATCGTCTTCGTCCACGTCTTCCAACACCACTCGATACTGAGGATTGGTGGCAAACGTTTCTGTCCGACGTAACACTTCCGATTACTTATCGACCCGCCCGTCTTATTTTATTTAGAGAGGGCCTTACCCAGGTAATTTCTACATCCCCCGGCGGTGCAGTTTTTTGTCCACGCCCCTTCGAACGCGCTGGCCTCCCACTTCCTGGTGGACAGGTCTCGAAGGCTCTCTTCGTTTAGCGAATCGGGACTCAGATTGCAAATGTCCAGCTTCATGAAGTTCCTCACGAAATCCTTGTACGACATCCTGAAACGTCGCGTATATATTGTTTATATTTATATATACACGCGCATACACACGCGTATGTACACAATTTACCAGAATTCTCCGTCGGCGGAGAAAGTCAGGCCGATCTCTTCTTTTTCTTCGTCGCTCAACACGGTCCATTCGGGAGATCTGAAACAAATACAATTACATTAAAACGCCTCTGTACGGTACCTAAGGTGCGCTGCCATCCACTCTTTCCACCCACTAAATCCGAGTTTGGTTCATTTGTTTACGGGAACGTGACACGTGAGCGATCTGCCGAGGAAGGATGCCTCCCGGGAGGACTTTCATGGAAAACCGGCCCCTATTTAGGTGTTACAAACATGAAAAAACCCAGAAAACTCCTCATGGCCAGGCGCGAACCCACGAACTACCAGATTATTTTAACCACTCGGTGACTAGTGGGCCACACTAAATCTGGGACGAAGAGGAAACAATCCCAATGGCGCTCCCTCGCACCGTAGGTTTAAAACGGGAAAGTAAATAAATAAAAAATTCCCCGTAATAATTGTTAATTAGATAATTAATACGTAATTTACGTATTAATTACGTATGGCGACGGGCGGGATGGCGAACGGGAAAGGCTCGGGGTTGAGTTCTCTCCGGGGAAAGGCTCCTCCCTTCTCCTGCAGTTCTAATTTATTTCCGTTAATTGATAATAAGGAGACTGTTTTATTTCGACGTTGGTTAATCTATCGAGAGAAGGTGCCTGGCGGGGTAACAAATTCCCCTAAAATTTACTACCGAGTTTGCCACCGTTTAAATTTCCTTTTATGGAAGCTGAAAGACTGCAATTAGAATAATGAATTCGTCGTAAACAACGACGTCACAAATTACTCTTATTAACTCGATTAAATTATTATTATTTTTATAACTCGGAGGGCACCGAGAGGGCCTGGGATACAGTTGCAAACTTGGCCAACTCTCCGTTGGTAACAGAGTTAATTTTATGAATGCCGTATTGTATGCACCCCCGGGAGGCGTACGGGATGGTGCGCGTCCTTTCAGCCAAAAGACCAAGGACTCGATGTCGTCGCGCGACGTTAAATCGAGAGACGGCGAATCGGAAAATACTCACTTGTCGCTCCAGGCACCATTCCATTCTTGTTCGTTTCCCCAAGGGTTTCTTATTCTCAGCAGAGCGATTTTGCCCGTCACCCGCGGCGTCTGCACTTCCACCTATTGGAAGAAACACCTCTTTATAACGTCTGTCCTCTTTACACGCGTCTTCCGGGCCAAGCCAGAATAGAAAACACTTACCAGTTTGACGCAAGTGATGCTGTAGGCGTGTCCGGCCACCAGACCGGTGGGTAGAATGGCTTCGGGATTCCGGGGGTCGGGCTGAAATTGAAAAAGGCATTAGAACCGGAAGGTCAAAAGGGAAAAGAGAAGAAAAACGGTACCTCGATAGCGCATCCCATCAGCGACATTCTCTGAAATGCTTTATGCAAGACGAGGAACATGTTGGGGGGAATCTTGTCCATTTCGTAGATCTCGGCCAATCCTCCGGTGAAATCCTCCATGGCTTCCGACGTGATTCCTCCCTTAAGCGACTCATAAGACCCGTGTAACCTGCAAAATTTGACGCCAGCCAAATCGAGATTAGGGTGGACCAGCCTCTATTCGGCGTCGTGCGGGGGATTTCCCCCCGGGGGCTAGCGACGTCCACACGTTTCGGGGGTCGTCTGGGTAGACGTTTTCTTTTCGTTGCATTTACAAATGTAATTACAGGTAACCCCCGTATAACACGGTAGTTACGTTCCAAAAAATTGCCGTGTTATGCGAATCAAAGAACTAGTACGAAAAGGAGGGTTAGGTTCCAAAAATTAAAAAAACATGCTACTATATTTTCATAATTAAGTTAAATATCTTTATTAAAATTTTCTTAAGTGATACATATGAATATAAATTAAACAATGTTTTCTTTGTCATCACTAAAAGCACTATTACCGAGAGCGTTTTATTTTTGGCAAGTTATCGTTATCCTCTGAGCATTTTTCTGCATTATTTTCAGATTCATGCTTTACCTTTTGCAAAAAGTGTATGTAATTTTAGATTGCTTGCTTCTAGTTAAAAGATCTTTATAAATTTCCTTATATGGTGCTAAGCACTTATGGAATAAGGGAAAAACATCTGGCAACACCAGAAGCAGAAACGTCGAGATCTGGCAAAATTGAAACAATTTTCGCGAAGGACCATGTGTATGGAGACGAGAAAAGAAAATTTACACACTGAAGTACTAATAGTTCACGAAAATAATAATTTTCGTGAACTATTAGTACTTAAGTATGTAAAAATTTATTACATTTCATGTTGTACGAAGGTTTTACCCATTTCTCGAACCGTGTCAGAGTGAATCCGTGCTATAAAAGTACCGTGTTATACGGGGGATGGTACCAATTCTCGAACCGTGTTAGAGCGAATCCGTGCTATAAAAGTACCGTGTTATACGGGGGTTACCTGTACAGTATACTGGTACTAATCCCGTTTCCGATTTATTCTTATTTAGTATCGATACGGAAAGGAGTCGGCGAATTTAAACTTTTTAGAAAAAAGTCCGCAGACAAAAAAAGGGTCGAAAATCCCCCGTTCTACCACCATTCGCCACCCGCGTAAGACGTTGTCCTTTCCGAAATCGACAGACTTCTTACTTCGGGCCGAGAACGGTGGAAAGAACGACGCCGAATGTTACATCGAGTGAGGAGTGCCACGGGAAAGAACGTACTTGGCGTAGGCTTTTTCCAAGAGGGCACTCCAGAATTCGGTGTTGTCGCTGGAGTGCATGAAGACCAACTTTCCGGCGAAGGTGGGGAGGCGGTCGTCGATCACCACGTCGATCCATCGTCCGTACTGCCAGAACCGGAAGTGGAAGATGCCGGCGTATCCGTCGCCGAAGGACTGGTCCTCGGGTACCACTCGCAGGAACAGGTCCTTGTTGAGGGTCAGGTTGGCCACCGCCGCCAGTAACCAACAGTCGCCTGAAAAACACCAGCGTCTATTTAGGTCTCTGTTTCGCCCACGATAATTTACGGGGAGGTGAGGATCGCGTTCCACTCCTCTCCGTCACCCTTCTGACGGAAGGAGGGAGCAAGAAGGTCCGGTGTCGTAACTTCGCCCGCTATCTAAAGGGATGACCTAAGTCGTTACGTACGCCTTAATTAACGGTATGGGATCGAATTACCCGCCACGGACGGAGTGGACGAAGATGAAAGGACACCCACTCGAGCAAGTTTATTCGTTCGCGGACAGAACGATGTAAAAACACAATAGAAGCATTCCGACGTCACCGTAGGCAATTGTCAGTGCCGTAACTAACCATTCTTGTGCTCTGTGCAAGAATTTGCATTTAGGCCTCTTAATTAATTATGTTTGGGATAATAATAAAACAGATACATGCATTTTGGGCCCCCTTCCAAGTGGGCCCTGCGCGAATGCACCTGTTGCACCTGCCTAGTTACGGCACTGGCAATTGTAAACGGGCACACACCAATTATAACTCGCTGGCAGTTTGGCAGCGGAACGTGCAAACCGATCGCAAAACCTGTTTTCCGTCACGCTTTGTTATCCCATTGTATTACATTTCTCCGTCGTTAACCTATTTGTAGCGAGTGAAGCGTGTGCGACAACTTACTACCACACACGACACTCGAGTATAAATTATCGATAAAAGCTCTTACGAAAGAGGCAATAAAATAGCATTTAGTGATCGATGGTAATTACAAGAGGTGGGAAACTTATCCGTTGTACTTTCTCGGAGGTCTCCTCGATTTAGGGGTTGTAGAGCCTTATTTTTTTCGCGTCCAAGTCGAAAGTGGGCGCGCGGGAGACGAGCACTCACCCAATTCTCCCTGGACAACGTCGAATCGGCTGATGCCCTCCACGATAAACTCCGGAGCGTCGCATAATTCCTGAAACGAAATCAAAGACAGGAATCAAAAGCCTCTTCTCCTCTTACCAATTCCCTTTTGGTTTCGATTTCGGATGTCTGCCGTCCACCCCCTTCCTAAGATCTAATTAAATTTGACGAAACGTAAGGTTTCGATCGTCAGAAACCCTTCTAATCCCCTTCGCGTTAATTATTGTTAACGTTACGGCGCGAGATTGGAAATGACATATTGTTACGCACGGTATCTGTCAGCACTATGTAAAAAAACTAGTCGCGAGATGAGGACCCGCGACTGCGCGTGCAAAACTAAAGAGACGCGTCGTCCAGGGATCGTCTCGTCCCCGACGTGAGAAATAAAAAATATATATACACAAACCGGAGGGTCGAACTAGTGACCGGAACGGCCTCGCTCCCGACTCCGCCCGTTTCCGGCCGGGATTTCCCTCGTCCTCGACCTCGTTCTACGTCACCGTTAATCTCCCTTTAATTATCTCGCGCCGTAACCCGCTCTCCGGGGAAGGGAAGGCGATTTTATATCCGCGCGGCGATTCTTTTTCGCCGATTTTATCCGGAAAATTAAATCGTCGACGTACGACGGGAAACGTCCCGTTCTCGGATTCTCTCCCGCCAATTTTCCGAGTCGACCTTCCTTTTCCGGAAGACAACAAAAAGAAGGAAAATACTCACGTGCGGTCTCTTCCACTCGAAGGGACGAGGGGGAGCGCGACTGTAGAAGATGGAGGAGTCGGAGCAGGGGAACTGTGGATCCTCGAAGAGTCTTCCCTCTCTCAGACACTTCTCCTTCAGCCGCTGATAGTCTTGGGGCCATCCCCTCACTCTGAAGCCCGAACCTCTCTCTCCATACTGAAACGCAAACAAAACTTTACACTTTTGGCCGGAAGTTTTTGGAAACTCCGCGCGATACTTTCGAGTGGTGGGGGAACCGTCTCCTCCGCCCCTACGCCTTGTCCCACCTTCAAAATTTGCCCGTCGAAGGGAGCCATTCCACCAACTTCCGTCGCTTTTCTCGCTTTGACGACCGCGGCGGTGACGTCACTCCGCCGTCCACGTAATCGACGGTCGGTGACGTCACCGACCGCTTCGCCCGAAACCATTCGAAACGCGCGCGAAAAAAACCTTACCAGGCGGCGCGGAAACGCGGGAGACCCCTTTCCCCTTCGGACGGGCGCCAGGACCCACCTTGGAGGAGGACGGAGGATCGGCCACCATTCTCCACGTCGATCGGAAGAATAACGCTCGCGGCTCCCTCCTCTTCCGGGCGGACGAATCGGCCGGAAGGGGGAAGGGGCGACGCCGGGGCGCCTTCCGGACGCCGCCGAATCCCCGGGCGTCGGACCGCCCGACGGAACGACGGCGCCGTCTTCCGGGCCTTTCAGTCTCCGAAAAATATCCGGGAGGGGCAACGCGACGGCGCTTTGGAGCGAGCGAACGCGACCTTATTTTCTCGGAACATCCGGAAAAAGAGGACGGAAGCGATAAAGTGGTAGGAGGAAAAAAAGGTTGGGGCGGACGACGGACGATAAACAAAGCGATATTTCAAATATTTTAAAATTTTATTTAATTAATTAATTAATTCTCAATTTTGCGAGAGACGACGAAAGCGGGAACGAGTTTCCGCAAGTGGCGTTACTACTACCGAGCGCAGTTAAGCGACGCGTAAGGGCCCGTGACGTAAAGAACACTATTTTTACGGAGTAGCATAAACACGAGGACGTTTTACGAATTTCTCCTCCTCCGTTAAGACGCGTTTCCAGCTAAAGTCTCGACTTAACGACACTCGGAGAGGCGAAGGAAAGTAAATTAGCGTTTGTAGCAGCGACTAATCGCCGCGATAAACGGGGGCGTAGATCCGTCGTCCGTCTTCGGGGGCGTTTTACGTCTTAGCGGATTTAAGTTTCTGCAGTAAAGTCCTTCGCCGGGTGGGGGCGACCCGACTCAGAGTGCGTTTTCGCGAGTCTAGCAGCCACCCTCCACACTTTGATGAAAGACTAATTTGCGTGGAGGAGGGGGAGGAAGAGAAGATAGAGGGCGCGGTCGAAGGGAAAGGGGAGACGCCCGAGGAAGAAAAGAAGCCGCTTGGCGTGATGGGAAGAGAAGACTGAACACGCCCCGTCTTCTTCCCATCGATTCCTAGCGAAGACGAAATTTAGCCCATTAAGTCGTTCGACACTAAACAACAAAACTATTTTTTGGAAGGGAATCCGAAGAAAGCCGCTCTTCTCTTCCCTTCTCCCATTTGTTACCGTTCGTCGCGTCGTTTCCGACGACAAATCTTTCGCGTGACGACATCGCGTGCGGCGGGTGGAATTTCCTGACTTCGGAATAACGACGACATAACTCGTTTACAACGTTTTCGATGGAACGACGCTTTGTCGTAAGCCTGGATGCCCTTAAAATAGTAACGATTAAGAATGTCGCGTAATAACAAATGGAAAATCAAGTACAGTACAGCGGATATCTACTTCCTCGCGCCGAAACCAGTTTTTTACGATGACATTCACTCTAGTCACGTGGTCGAACGCTTACGTTGCCGGCGCGTGAAGTAACCGGAAGACGTTTAATTGCGAACGCGGCAATAAATTTAAGAACGAACGCCAAAAACAGATCCGAGAGGTCACTTTTCCGTCAGTCCATCCCACGACCTAGAAGACGACGCCGCAGTTCCTTCGTTAGTGCGATCGATGACCTACATTCTACTTCCACTTCCGGTTTGGCGCCGCTTTTCGACAGTTTCGGATGGTTCATCGCTTTAAAAAAAGTAAGGCCGTAGTTGGCCGTCCTTTTTAGTGTTTTACAATCGAAGGGCGCCATTTCCGCATTGGAACGCAGAAAAGCCACCTCTTCGGATTTAACGAGGCCGAAAGTCTCGAAGTTTTAACCAAAGTTTCGCACGTTCCAAGTAAATTTTCGTGGAATTTTCGCAAAAATCGCTAAAAGGAGGCTAGAGTTTCCGATTTTTAGGGAATTTTTCAAAAGAAAGAATGGGCTTTTCCAACGTCACGCTATTTGCAAAGGCGTTTTCCGGAAATTGGGAGGAATGTTCCCTCCTCCCGTATGTCGCGCGTAATGGAAAAAAATTTTCGTTTAGACTTTGGCTAAACTTACTTCTCCGAAATTCCGAAAATCGCCATTTTACTTTCTCTCCCTCTCCCCTTCTGCACGCGCCCAGGTCGGAAACTACGCACCTCCTCACCTTTCGGATTCCGTTGATTCGTAAAGGTGGAGGGTGAGCTAATTACTTTGTTCTCGCGCGTGCCGTGACGTTGTATAGGCGTAGACGTTGAGAAGAGTGACAAAAAGTGGGCCAGACACTTTAGTCACGCTCCGATCGATGATATTTCGACACTCGATTTCTCGATTTAAGTAAAAATTGCTAGGAGGAAAAAATAAAATAATAATGGAAGCAAAAAGTATGCATAATTTATTAAAGAATTTTATCGTTTCTGACGTTATCTGTCGGATGATGCAGTCGTAAATATTTAATAGGCATTTCTCTGTCGGAGTCGGCGACGCCCTTTTCGGAATTAGACCGGAGTCACGCGGAAACGTGGCTCGCGATCTACCGGATGGGGGCGCTCTCCCGGCTGGGATGATTCTCCGGATGGGTCGATGCCGAATCGAAGACGTTATATATCCACCGCATCTCTCCCAAAATTGGGGATCCAACTTACGCCAACAAAAGTTAATTTCATCATTTTCGGAGGGAGCAATTAAAAGGACCTTCCGCCGTGGACCGAGGAAGAAGAATGACAGGTTGTTCCCGAGTAAAAACCGCCCCTCCATGCAATTCCTTTCTCTTCCTTCGGTCGGAACCGGAAGTGGAGAGCTCCGAAATGCGTAAAAATCCGGATACTCACCCGATATACGGTAACCTCCCCCGAAAGGGACCCTCGATAGGTGTACGGCATGCTTCGCTCACCTGCAGACGATCCGTCTCTTCCGCGCCACCTGGACTTTTCCGCCGCCGTTCTGTCGGTCGGAAATTCAGTCGATCGGCGCGCCGCCTTCTTCCGAAAATTTCTTTTCCCCCGACATTTTTATTTCTCCCTTTTACAGTTAATTTTTCTTTAAGACGGAATAGTCTTCGTCCTTACGCCTTTATTTCCGTTTTGTACGAATTTTTTATTTTCCGAGTATTCCGACCGCCAGAGGGCACCGCTCGGAACGTTTCGAACGTCGTCTGCTTATATTTATTTTTAAATTTTTACTAGTTATAAACAATAATTATTAATTGTATTTTTTTTCGGATTTTCTTGTTGTTTTTTATTATTTTTTCGGTCTCATTCCGGAATTTCCGCCGGAATGAGACTTGGTTACATTTCCGATCGCGCGTCAATTGGAAAATGATAAGCCGGGACGATTTCCATTCGGAAAATTTTCGATAAATTTCAAATTTTCTGTACGGATGAAACGTCATTGAAACGTTCCGTCCGTACGAGAAAAGTCGACGCGATTTTATATCATCTACCGATGATATAATAAAATCGCGAGTAAGAAGATAGATTTAGTTTTTCCGCTCGTTTTGAAGCTCGCGTCATTAATAAATAGTTCGTGAATTTTCGACACGTTTGTACTGAAATGTGATAAACGGGAGATGATCCCACGGCATAAGACAAAATGGCGGAAGCCAACAGAATGGAAAAATGTGGAAGAGAAGCACCGGAAATGGAATATTTTTTTTTTTTTGTTTTTTCCCATTCGAGTATAAATACATAAATTTAGTACGTTTACTAAAATTTATATCTAGAGACATCATATACAGTAGAGCATCGATTATCCGACTCAATTGGGGACTCGGGTTGGTCGGATAACTGAAAAAATCGGATAACCGAAAAGAATTAAAAAAATACATTATTAGTATAGTATATTAGTAGTATGTAATTAGTATATCGCTATTAACTAACTTCGCGTTGAATTTTCATCTATGTTAAGCCTAATAATTTTTTTTAAAATAATAATCGTCGCTATTGTATCGTTAAAAATTATTTTTAAAATATTTTATTGCTCACAAAACAAACAACCATTCATAATTAGAAAATTAAGTCTCGTTTAAATACTGGCCTTCCTTCAATGGTCGAGTCGATGTTGCCAGCTAAAACACGCAAAAATTTAACAAAAATAATATTAAAGTAGCCAAGACATAGCCAAATATTGTAGCGCCACATCCCTAGCGGACATTTGAAATTTGCCGACTAGAACGGTCGGTTAACCGATGTGACGGTTAATCGGGGGTCGGATAATCGATGCTCTACTGTATTTTAATTTCGTGTTGTTAACGATAGTATTCCATTCCAATTTTATATTATGTACTGTATAGTACTGTACTGTACATACATTGTGATGTTTTCTTTTGCTAATCAACTATAGTAATTGCAGGAACTAGAATATTTTCGTGCTCCAAATCTTGCCAATTTTACTTTATATCAATTTTGAGTGTTTACAAATGACTATTTTCTATTATAAATGTATTGTTCACTATAATCAGATTCGGTTAAACATTTTTTCACTTATACAATAAGAATTTCCGTACAGAACTACGGAGACTTTAGATTCTTTACGACGCCGATAATTGTAATACCCAATAGTCTATTTGATAATTGGAACCATGTTCGATAACACAGAAGGTCGCGTTTCTAACCACTTCTAGATTCTTCCCACTGTGAGAATTCTAAGCATTTCTATCGGAATACTTTCACTATACTGGTGACGTCATTCTTGCCGGCCTACGTACTTCTGAGCTGGCTATACGTGCATGTCTAAATATATTTATTTATAACAGTGGCAAATCTGCGGTCGTAACAAAAAGGGGAATGCATTTAATAGTAAAATATGTATTCGTTGCGGAGGATATCTGCAATTATCTTTTTGTCTTTCGAATAACGGTGTAATTCGGAACAATTTATCTTTCCTCCCTCTTCCAGACAATTAAATGATACGGAAAATTTTATGGGGCGGTTGACTCGTATACGAGAATTCTCCTTACCGAACACGGACCCGATTGACAATTTCTACGTCACAATGACGAAGACCATTGCGGAGCCTCCAAACTAGTTCCAACGTACTATTGGTTATAGTTCGTCACGTGATTAAAAACACAATTACAATACGAGTTATAACGTTGGCGGGCAAGGAGGACCCGGGTCGGAACCCGTTCCTCATTTCGGAAAAAATAGGAGGAGGCGCAATTGACTTCGTTTCTTCGACGTCCTTCGAATTTAATTATCGAGAAAGAAGCCGTCTTTTAGGGGATCGTCGTCTTCGTAAAAGAAACGATGACTTCCTGTGTAGTAGGCGTTTCCGGAAACTTCCACCACCACCGCCGCCGGATAAGGCCCGTACTTTACCGTTTCGACTATTCTTCCGGTCATGACGCTCCCGGCAAAACTAGAAAAGACTTTGGTTTGGTCGACGGACACCGAACCTCTGTGGTGAAGAAGAGCCATTCTGGCCATGACTCCCGATCCCGTCGGACTTCTGTCCACCTACAAAGAATGTCGTCATTAATTCGAAGAAACGTGTTCACGGGGGGAAGGGGAATTCCGAATGACCTCGAAAAATGGGTATGCCGAGGATTAGGTTGGACGGATGGGATAAGACCAGAGAACCACGAGCGATCTGCCAAGGGAGGGTGCCTCCAGGGAGGACTTTTTACGAAAACCCTTTTCTATTTAGATATTAGACACGGGGAAAAATCCGAAACACTCTATGCAGTAAGGCGCGAACTCGCGACCAATGACTTCTGGATAACCAAGAATTGGAGGTCGTGGGCTTTACCTGTCTGTCGGCAAAGACGCAGAAGTTTTTTTCGTCTTTCGTACCTCCCGTTAGGATGGTGCCGTACAGATAAGACAAATCTGGATCTTCCGGATGTTGAAGCGTCACTCTATTCTTGACCGCTTCTAAAGAAAACAAATTTAAACACGCATATAAGTTAGTTAATTAGGGCTTCCAGCCCCTAAGCTTTCCATATCAGGTCTCGATTTTCATTAATGTAACTCTAATCTAACAAGGAGGGACAGATGGGCAAATTACCGGTAACTGAGGAGGCCGCATTCACCAAATCCTGGTATCTAGACTTTTCGACGTTGCATTTGACCGCACGAGCGGGGACCACGACGTAGAATGCACCCCCATAAACCACGTCCACTTTGACAAGTTCTTCGTTAACCGAGATTTCCACATCTGGAAATATACAAATGCGCTTTTTAAGGTAAACTCCTTTCTGGCATCGTTCTTAGACGAACCTTAGTTTCGGGGATAGTTCCGGACTTACCCGATTGGTAGACGAAGGAGGGAACTCCGTAGAACCTGACGGATCCGCTTTTCTCGTTTTCGTAGCGAACGAAGACCCGGACCACCCCACAGGGACAGTGGATCTTCAGGGGGGTCTCCGGGGAGACGGGTGCCACCAGTTTTCGATCCACGGCGTATCTGCCCAGGGCCAGGACTGCGTGACCGCACATGGTACTGTATCCCCGGTTGTGCAGGAACAGGACCCCGAAATCGGCCGCCTCTGGATCTTCGGGCTCCACCAACACTGCCCCGTACATGTCCCGGTGGCCCCGGGGCTCCCCCATAAGAAACTTCCGATATCTGTCCAGGTGCCGTTCAGCGAAGCGTCTTTTTTCCAGAATGGTCTTCCCCTGTGGTCTGGGATAGCCGGAAGTGACGATGCGCAGGGGTTCTCCTCCCGTATGCATGTCGCACGTGGTCATCTCTTTCGCCACCTTCTTTTCCGGATCGGCCATCGACGGAGTAACGCGAATATCTGCTAACGACTACTCGAAAGACGATAATTGCCAGGAATTGTGTACCGGGGGCGTTAAAGCACGTGGCTAAGTTTATCACTTCGCTTAGATAATAGTAAACCGCGTTCTTTCACGCCTGCTTCGAAATATTATCTAATATTTCGAGGAGGCGTGAATATGTCGAACCATTCCATTGCCTTGTAACACCCACCCTTACGTAACGTATATCCTCCATTACCCATTGTAGTAAGGAATAATACACAGGACGAGGGTACTGTTACGTTATTATTATTAATAATTATTATTATTATTATTAATTATGTGTAAACCAGTGACAAACAATACGGTTCGTTAAAGCAACTGTTCGGAAACAAAAATGAATTATTCTGTTACCCTACAGTCGAGATCCTCCCGGTATGTAATATTTTGTAAATACCCCAATCCTCTTGTAACGATCATCTGCATTGCATAACGTATGGACAGCCTTGTTTATGAAACAAAGAATAATTTAAAATTAATTGCGTTGATTGCGAGATGGAATGAAGAATTACGGAATGTAAAAATTTTAATTAAAAAATTAATTTAAGAATACGTAATGAAACCAGACACGCCGCCATTACGATCGTCCGGAGTAGAAATTATTTTCGTCCCAAACGCCTGTAAACACGAAACTAGTAAAGAAAATATTTAATAAATATATAAATTCTACGGCGGGTTGCTAGTTTCTATCGTTAAAAAACCATTAAGTACTTTAAAACTTTTGAACATATTATTATATACTGTAACTATTAATTATTATACTATAATGGAATGTTATTATTATTATCAAGTACTGTTTGAGAAATTGGCTTATATATTATCAGTTATATATTAAAAATGTTCTGCACTTGGACCAAAATGTTTCATATTTTTATCTTAATTTATATTTCTCTTAGACTCGTTTACAACTGACACTATGAGCGCTGCCATATGTAAATCACGTGAGTCGACCGCAATATCAATTAAGGAAACATGACAAAATGACAATTGTTAACTAAATTATCAAACACTGTATAATTTATAGAGCAATATTAAGACGATCATTTTTATATTTTATTGTACGGTATATTTATTTTCATAAATAGTTTTCCCGAATGTCCCTAGATGGCGCATTAAAATCGTGCTACCCATATACGTCAATTTGGTGTCGTTACGTCAGTTTTTTAATGAAAAATTATAAAGAAAGTACGAATTCTTACGTAAATTTCACTCAATCTCAGCCAATTAAAAATAATTTTAATTTGCATTTTGTACTATTAGCGCCATCTACATTCAGTAGGAGACACTATCCAGGAAAATAAACATATGCAGTGTTCATCAAACAATACGTAACAAAAATTGCGTGCATTGTTAGATTAAAAATTTTAAAGAATGAATAATCTATATCTATATATCTATATCTATGTATATAAATGGACATGTATGTCCCTATATTTCACTTTTCTGCAAAAACTACACATTGCACGTGAATGGTGTTTGTATGTGGTGGTAGCCCCAAGTCTCCATTCGTGCATAGGGGTGGTTGCGTCTCGATAGCTATAAGGGTGCGGGAGATATGAGGCTGAAAGTGGTTGAAAGTGGCTTTCTATTTCGAATGTTTTGTTCGAATTTGTTCGAATTAAATTCGAACATAAAATTCGAATATTGGTTCGATTATAGAACGATTGTAAACGTTCCAGAAACGTTGAAAATAGTTCGTTTGACTAAACGTAAAAATTCTCTAATTAGTCTGGAAACGGGGGACCTAATTCTTGCATTCTGTGAAAACGGGTAAGATTAGCTATAATGTAATTATCTTAATCTTCACTATCGTTACTTTTTGCCCAGCGAAGCGAGTCCTTGCAGCTAGATTCTAGATTACTTAGAAAAACAGTCTTTTATATATATAAAAAAACTATATTACATAAAAATAAAAATCCAGCGAAGCGGGATCTTGCAGCTAGTTTATAAAATATAATCAAAGATTTAAATCAATAATTAGGACTTGTTTATTTCCAGCGCCCGGGTACCGTTCGCCAGATAGCCGATCGGTCAAACTGACAGCCTACCGCTCTGGGGGACCCGGGATCGAATCCGGACGGGTCGAAAAATCCCTAGGAATTTTTCAAGGGGGGTGGTTCGTCCGAATATGTCGGGCCCCATCTCTCAACACCCGGCTGCCCCATTAGGCCTGGCCGAACACATAACAGAGTGGAGAGGGTTAAAAAAGACGAATTTCCACTAAACCAGTGACTCTTACTCATTGGGTAAACCTAAACAGAGTTACAAATAAACAGTGGATCACCTGTGCCCCGTTCGTTTCTTATCCCATAATTATGACCGCAGATATGTACCGTATTATTAAATTAATGTATCCAGTAACCTAATATATATACAGTCGATCCCCCTATAAGACGGTAGATACGTTCCGTTCTTTATGAATCAATTTTGTAGGAATCACAGCCCGACACGTGTGAAGTTTACGGACTACGGCTGTTTGAAAGGTTTTATTCCATAAAATTAATCGATTCTAGACTAATTCGACTCAACATTTCCAAAATACGTATATTTTTTTGAAAATAATCCGTATAAACTACGTTATAAACAAAAAATTGTAGGATTGCTTACCGAGTGTGTACCGTTCGACTACGCCCGTTGCTAAAGCTTGGTTTCGTCGCGGAACAGCGCATCAAACCGCGGCCGCGATTTCTGATATTATTTTTCTGCGAAAACTTCGTTGAACTTTGGAGACATCATTAATATAAATAATTTTTATCGCCGTTGAATAAGAAATGTTTCTTTCACAAGAAATGTATAAAATTACAGTGCTGTATTAGACTTACGGTACCTAATTTACATACTGTACAGACGATAGCTCGCCTAAACTCTCCGTAGCGTGGCGCTAGACGGCGGAAAGTATATATATAATTATAATAAAGTTACAATAAATTAAGTTAATATATAATTATATATACAGTACCTAATTTATATATAATTATATGTACAGACGATACTAAACTCAATTTACCCGCCTAAACTGTCCGTAGCGTGGCGCTGGACGGCGGAAAGTAGTTCGGCTGCCCGCTGACGTTTTACGTAATTATAAAAGATTTTTTACGCCGTTGTTTACGGATACCGCCACAATTTTTTCGCCGTCTTATAGGAATCGTAATTATAGGAACCTGTCTTATAGGGGGAATCTACTGTACAATGCATTTTGGAGAGATGACTAGGTCAGTTTGCGGTCCACTCGGTGCACGATTGTGGACACACTTTGTGAACCACTGCCCTAGACCAGTGATGGCGAACCTTTTTGAGTCTGCGTGCCGCATATTAAGCATACTTTTCTTTAAAAATGATTATGCGTGCAGAAGTTTTAGACTTCTAGTAACTATATCTAAATTTGGCCGAATGGCTGAACGGTCAAAGTGGTAGCTTATTGCTCTTGTGGACTCGAGATAAAAAAAAATCACAGAAAATTTTCAGATGGTGATCCATTCTTCACCACCTGGCAGTTCCATTTGGAGTTTGCTAGATAAAAAAGCCCTGTTAGCGCCCACAGGGCAAAAAGAGTTTTAAAAAACTATATTTAAATAAATAAAATAATATGTTGTAATTAAAGTAAAGAACCTGATTGAAAAAGATAAACCGAAATCGTATAATATCAATACGTTACGTGCAAGATGATTTCTTCAACGTGCCACTTTGGGCACGCGTGCCATAGGTTCGCCATCTCTGCCCTAGACTATTTGAGCACTGTTTCGGACCAAACGCATACTGCAACACAGCCGGACCATCTCAACTGCTCAATCTTAATTCAATCGAGAATGGAACGTATTGGAATGAGATACTACACAGCAAAGTCTATTCCCTTCATATCTAGTTAGGGAATATTTTACACGATGATCAATCCTCACTAGATCAAAATGCTTTCACATATCACGGTGAATTTTCTGGTATCAATATTCATTATTATTACATTTTGTGACATCAATTTGTAACCCCAGGGCCCTTAGTCTCGAGTTTTTCGTGTTGTACTCGAATTGACGTCATCAAACTCACTCGTGTTACTGTGACTCACATAATCGGTAGTCTCGAGTTAGACCCATCGAGCGAGCTCGAAAGGCGAGCGGAAGTAGGTCATATTCACTTGTTTACGTGTATCGTTAAGCATGATGGGATTATTTACAATGCATCTGGGTTTGCGACTATACTGATTCGACCAATCAACTTTACTGTAACAAGTTGTAAACAAATCAACGTGAATTAGTTTACACGTGTTATAGTTAAAAGTTTTGTCCTATAGCAAAATGGAAACCTCCAATATTTTATTTTAAAAAAGAAACGAAGAACAAAAAGAAGTATTAGTAACATATATAGAAAATAATAAGAAAACGAACAATATAAAATTCGACAACGAATTTACAAGAAAAAGACAATTTGATTTGTGGAGAGAATTAGTTGAAAAATTAATTATGTATTGGAGCTAAAAAATCCGCCGTGTAATGGAAAAAGTATTTTAATTTAATCCTTTTTTCATATAGTTTTCTTCCTTGATCTCGTATTAAATTGTTTTGTTTATTAAGATTATTTATTAATCAGAACTTAACACTAATGATTAATAAATAATCTTAATATAGTGTCTATGCTCTTAATAATTTATACATATAATTTACTATCATTATAATTCTTTTTGTCGATGAATAAGATACTTTTTATTTTTGGAAAAATTTGCTATATAATTTTATCAATTGTGAATTAAAATTTTTTTATTAGTGATGACTTGACATAAAAAGAAATGGCATCTACTCGTGTTCGAAAAATTCGTTGCCTTCTTAAGCAACTCTTTCGGCTCTTTCTAACGCTTCGATTGCCATCAGAATAGCGTATTTGTCAGCCATTTTCACTTTCGTGTAGCGATCTCACATGCTCGACTCAACATGAGTAGCAACTCGCATGGTGAGATGGGAAAGCACGTGAGTTATAACTGGAGACTACCGATTTGACGTCAGAGTGTGAGATGGTACCACGTGACACCTTCAACACGTTGGGAGTTGTAACACGAAAAACTCGAGACTAAGGGCCCAATATGCTAGTCCCGGAATATCGGACAAGAGTGGAAACAGTACGAATGGGTTACATTGTTTTTCTTCTCAACTTTGTTCTAAGATTGGTTTATTTGTTTACGGCAACGCAACATCCGGACTTTCTCCAAGTAGTTTATACGATAGTAGTGGAAACTCTCGTGAATTAGCATGTACCGTAATAGCGACAGCGCAAACTAGTCACATCTAGCGGTTCGAGTAGAACACAAACAGCAGACTATGTAAACTTGCATCTAACAAAACTTGATAAAATATTTATTTCGTTGCATTTTTGCATCATTTTGTCTTTAAAATTATAATTCATGTTTTAAGATAATAAAATATTCAGTAGGAAACGTGGATGTGTAGTGATTTAAAGGAAGGAATAATAGCAATAAAACAAATCAAATGCAATAAAAGTCAAATTTTTATTTCAATTTTATTAAATTGAAACCATTTTTAAAAATAAAACATTTTTACATTAAATTAAAACACATTGAACACAAATATATCATGTGTATCAAAAACATGAAATATGACATTTCTACATGTGAATGTTCTATTTTTGTTTTTTGGGGCTGCTTCTCATCGTAGTCTGTTTGGCATTATAAATTAATTAATTAATTAATAGTGAGGTTACTGTACCAGGCCAGATCCTGTAACATATGCAAAACAAATTTTTAGTCGAGTGCAGTGATAAGAAACTAAATAAAATCTGTGGACAATTAGCGATAAGTTCAATATTAGATCGTAAATTTCTATTTCGGTGAGAGGAACAAAAAAATAGGTAATATAATTTAACGGTGTTATTTAAGTGAACAAATAAACAATTTTACATACCCTTGATTTAAGAGATTTTTGTTTCTAAAATCTTTTTCTGTAAGATGGTGGGAACACACGACATAATTTCTATTTAAATACTCTGGCCCTTTTGCTTTCAAAATCTCGTGTAAATCGGTCCTTCTGCTCTTAATAACCCATTGAGTGCATCTGAAAATCAATATAAACACATGCGTTGACTGATAACAATATTTTAAAGGAGGAATGTTGATATAAATGAAAACAATCGAATTGCTTATTAATTTACTCACACTTGTTTGTTTTTAGGGAATCCGTAAAACGACTTGCGATCACTTTGTATCTTATAATTAAAACAGCAATACACAGCGCAAATAACATCATCTGGCCATTCTAATTATTGAGAGAGATAATAAATTCAAAAGTTTATGTTACCCAAAAACGTCTCCTTGTACAGTACACGCAGTACAAATCAGCGTTGCCAGATGTTTTTTGTCCTTGTAGCCAAATAATTTTTAAAAAGTAGCCCAAAAGTAGCCAATTGCTGGAGCAGTTGGCTACTTTTGTACCAGATGTTGTTTTACCTAGTACTTTTGCACTAATCTAGTACCTTTTTACTTGTCCCAGTACCAAGATACCCAACACCATTTTCCTAGTACCATTCATGAAATCCTAATACCTTTCTTTTCAAAACATTCATTTTTATTCTATATTTCTATATTTTTTTACTTTACTTTGACAGTAAATAGATGTTTTTACTGCTTCCTCATTCAAATGCAGCAGTTGAACGTATTTTTTGCAATTAAATTTAATGAAAACTAAACTACAAAATTGAGTTCTTACAGCGATAAATGTTAAACTTGGAAACCATCATCTGCTTCAACCATACAAAAACACTCTAGTGAAAAAGATTCTGATGATGATCTTACCAGTGATTTTTCAACGTGATAATTTTAAATTTTAGTACTTCATGTTCATTACTTTTGTTTCAACATTTTGCTCATTTGATTGTTGTTGAGGAATAATAGCATTCTTGTAATATATGAATTTTGTATGTTACATGTAACACTATATAAGACATTTACAAGAAGCTGACATTGGCAAACAGTTGCAATTAGCGTAACGTTATTTGTTACTAATTTTATCAAAAACAATTAAAATTTATAAAAATTACGCCCTAGTAACCATGTTTGGTACCATTCCGTATAGCATAGCATTTACCATTAGTCATTTTTGTTTATAGATGCATTTTCTTTTCTTATTTCTTTCTTTCTAGGATATCATTTATCTGGAATTTATATTAAATTTTCT